AAAGGTTATTTTTAGAGTTTATTGTCCTTTCAAGAATCTCTTAATCAAATATCCATGTGATAATCACCTTATTAAGTTTCAAGTTAAATTTTGTGTTGGCAATTTCAATTGAAATTATACAAAGTGTCATGTTTATAGGTTATTTTTGTGACCTTACCTGGCTAGACATTTATTATCAAATTTAGAATCCAGTTATAGTATGCAGCACATTTGAGGTGGTCAATACTTCCTATCTTTCTTCATTACACTGTGTCCTTGAACATTTTTAGAGTCACTAACCCCTTTGGCCTTTTGAGAGAATTATGGATCATGTCACTTAGCCACTCAACAATTGTGTGTGTGTGTACAACATTCCACATTAAGGAGCCAGGCACTGGGGATATGGTGCCGAGCAAAATGGAATAGTTTCTACCCTTAGTGGCATTAAAGTTTATCAGAGAATACACATATTCATTCTAAATTATAATACAAATAAATTGTGAAAAGTATCATGTAGGAAGACCACAGTTTCATTTTGGGGGTCAGTAAATGGAGAGACAAGGTAGAGTCAGAGGTATGTTTCCTGAAAAATCAGAATGTGAATTGAGAACCACAGAAGATGAAAGAGGCATGGTATTGAGGAGTGAATTCCAGGCAGATGTGCCAAGAGGATATATAGAAGTGAGGGAAGCAAGCAGATGCACAGAAGCAAGTGAGGGCATGTAGCTCTCCTGATGTTGGACAAGCAAATAGAGACCACATGCAGAACCCAAGACAAATACATATACCCAAAAAATGTGAACCCAATTTTGCACCCTTGCATTATATATTCTGTTGGTCTCATTCCTATTGGCATTGTTTCATTATTGAATGTAAAGTAAACTCAACTTCAAATACTTGATGATAAAGACAATGTATAACTGCTAAATATGCAAAGAGGAATACCAACACTCTCCAAAGATTGTAAGCATTAATTTATCCAAACTAACATCTCAAAATTATTTTAATATTGTGTTAATATGACAAAATTCTACAGTCATACCAAGAATTTTAAACAGAAAGATTATTTTCCCTCCTCATAAGATCCTTTTATTTACTACTAGCTATATTCTCTTTGGTCTGGGTTTGCTCCCAGCTTTCTAATTTTCTTCCTGTTTTGATCTTATGCACTGAACTTTTTTACAATAACTCTTTTTCCTAGCATTGTAAATGATGTCATAAAGAGAAATATGTGCAATAAAACTTTTTAACTTAGTTTCTTCACTAGGTCCTAGTGTTATTTTGTTTTCATTACATATATTGTCAGTAATTTATTCAACAACTAGGAATTGAAGATAATAATCATTATAGGTAATGCATATGATAAATTATACTTATTGAACAATATTATAAACATTTTACATTTACTAGTTCATTTAATCTCAATGATACCACTATGAGGTTGGGACTAATATCATACCCATTTTAAGATGAGGAAATTGATACAGGGAAACATTCAATAACTCGCCATGTCCTACAGCTTATAAGCAATAGCAGGTGGATGTCCAGGCTGTCTGGCCATGGAGTTCATGCTCTTAATTACTTTTGCTATATAGTCTACAACCAGAACCACAACAATGAGGTTGCACTACATATCAGCCACATCTATGTGACACGTACTATACTGGACTCTGGGGATAGAAAGATAAATAAGAAAGGCAAAGCTAAAAGAATGGAATTGGAATGTTCCTAACACAAAGAAATGTCAAATTCCTGAGGTGATGGATACTCTAATGACTCTGATTTGATTAATTTACATTGTATTCCTGTGTCAAAACATCACACATATAGTATAAAGATATACAATTATATACCCAT